AGGGTGGGCCCACGGTGTTAGAATGGCATGAGGTGAATACATTGTTCCATGAGATGGGGCATGCAATGCATTGTACGTCTCTTCTTCATTTTCGCGCCTGCATCTTCTCATATCATTTCCCCCCCGTTTCATAGCAATGATCGGCCGTACTGACTACCAAAACGTCTCTGGAACACGATGTGCAACCGACTTTGTCGAGCTCCCCTCGATCCTCATGGAACACTTCCTCAGCTCCCCCGTCGTCTTATCGCTCTTCTCCGCCCAGTCTACTGGGACACCGTCAACCGTAGCAGGGAACCACCATGTCGACCCGTGTCACTCGATTGATACATTTCAGCAATTCCTCCTGGCCGCGTTAGACCAGGAATACCACTCCACCAAACCCTTGGACAGCAAATTCGACTCGACGAAGGTATACGCGGATCTTATAACCGCGTCCGGCTTGATCCCCTACGTCGAAGGGACATCATACCAAACACAGTTTTCTCACCTTTTCGGGTATGGTGCGACTTACTATTCGTACCTCCTCGGACGCGCTATCGCTTCGCGAATTTGGGGTCAAGTATTCTCGGAAGACCCGTTGAACCGAGATGTAGGTGAGAGGTATAAAAAGAGGGTGTTGAGGTACGGAGGTGGAAGGGATCCATGGAAGATGGTCTCAGAGCTGTTGGGGTTACCGGAGCTGGAGGGTGGGGACAGGGAAGCAATGGGGATTGTTGGAAGGTGGAGGTTGGAGGACGAAGTTGGTGCTGGGGGAAGGCATTAGTGAGTGAGCTGGCGTTTAGATTTCCTTAGAAGTGCTAGTATATATGAGTGAACGACTAGGATGGGACCTTTTATAATCCTCGTTATACTGGTCCGGATCGTGCATGTAATTTCTCTATCGCAATCAAGTCTGGACTATGTAAGCTAAGAGACTTCAAGTTGGGGCTATGAGATCGACGAGGTCCAAGGCTCGTATACCGGATAGTAATATGGCCGGCCGACTAGCTCAGTTGGTTAGAGCGTCGTGCTAATACCCTACATTAACGCGAAGGTCTTGGGTTCGATCCCCACGTTGGCCAGTACGCACCACTAGGACCCTCTAGGTTTTTGGCCGGATCAGTTAATCTCTCTGCGTTGGCGCCGGAGTAGCTAGAGAGAAAGCTATGTCCGCGTCCTTATTCTGTTCAAAACCGACATCCCCTTCGGAACACAGGACTCAGGCCAGATAGATAGATAGATAGATATGTAGATATTACACAGCACCGTCCCGTTAAGGAACCGCTGGAGCCAGTGCGGGCCTCCTTGCGGAGGTTCCTGGGCCTGATTAATGATTTTCCACAACGACCATCATTCAACGGAGCCCCCCTCGACCGAGTGATGTGGGGGTTTCAGTCGCAGGTACTCTAAGTACTCTAAGTACTGGTTGAACTTGGCATTCGCTCCCCACTCACGCTGGACGATCACCGGCACCAGCGACTGAGTACTGGGCAATCGCCTGTGCTCTCCTCACTAGGATTGCAGTTGTGTGTAGTAAGTACTTTCCAGTTGTGGTCCGATTGAGCTAGGACTAAAACTCACATCTTACACAGCTAATGGCTTCTGATGCAGATATCCCTATTCCACCCATTTCCAGCGTACCAATAACGCTTCACCCTTCCGCACACACGCTCACCAAAAAGCTACTTTCAGAATCCGACTCGATTGGGGTGATCGGTATGATACAGCAAGTACTCTGCAGTGCACACCTTACGCATCATACGATATATCCTGATATATGGAGCATCCTGGCGTACCCTCTTTCTGCAATGCTCTGCACTGTGCAAGTCACCGGTAATCACGGCATACACTTTCTTCGCCGTCATGGAGAGCGATTCGAGGATGCATTTTTTGCCAAACAGCGTGTCATACGTCTGGCTGGGCCAGCGGCACGCTTCAATTGGTCTACTTATAACTCGACGACTATCTGGTCATACGGATGATCTGTCCATGGGATGTTTTATCCTTATGATGGGCCCGCTATCCCCCAGCTCCCTTTTCATCCTGTGCTTCGATTCCCAATCATAACGATGTGGGGGGAGATTCGTCCCTTGAAACATGGCGAACGTGGGGTTCACGGTAGAACAATGATTGATCTGCCCTAAACCAACGTATCGCCTGTGTCCACCATCGTCCGCAAAACTCCAAAACTATCCCTATATACGACCATGAATTGTCAATGCTTCAGGTGCCCATCTTTACCTGATCTTCGCGACTATGACCTTGATTTCACCTCCGCCTCAGACAGTGTCAGCGTTCGAGCAGCTCTTCTTAGTTGTACAACATCAACGGTATGTTGCCGTGAGTATTGGAGTCGATTAGGGGTTTCACTGCTCAACCCAAGTTACTGACTGGCAACTATGCAGAGCGTCGAAGGTGCACAATCGTGATCCGATGTGAAGACCAGACACTAACAAGTCGCTCGTAGTTTGCAGCGCGATGCTATTCGTCTACGACTATCTCCTGACGCTCAACCTCGAGTTTGAACACATATGGAAGGCGAAATGGTCACTCGTGAAGGCAATATATATTATCCAGCGGTATTTACCCTTCTTTGACTCCTGCGCCTTTGTTCTACATTGTAAGTTCTTCAGTCCGCTCCCCCATCACGCACCTCAACTGGCGTTACCCAGATCAATTTGTTGCGAGCCCAAGCCTGGAATATTGTCGGGTTGCGTATACGTTTACCGGATGTAAGCCCTTGCCCTTCAACTGTCGCCAGCTGATCGGCTCATTGCTCTTGCTGTAGGGACCTATGCGGTTGGAATATTTTTTTCTGACGGTCAATCGCATTCCCATCCTCCGCGCCAACTACAGCTCATGTGAAGACGTTTAGCATTATTTCTCTTGAGGCTTTGGGCAGTGTGGAAGAAGACCCTCTTGTCCAGTCTTGTGATTGGCCTTTGCTTCCTCGGTTGCTGGATCCCGGCTTTCGTGGTCTTCAATCAATTCCTCGAGTCTCTGCGATGTGAGTCCAATGTTCTATTTGACTTCGCATGGCTGAACATCGTCTCTAGTCGCCGCTTGGCCTGGACCCCTTCTCGGGCTGGACTACGAATATCGAGGGTGCTTTCTCACAGGAGGAGAATCGATCATTTACGTGTGCTGGGTGTTGATGATGGTCAACACGATAGGTAAGAATCTGCCCTCGTCCGTTCGATGAAGACTCACAGTTCGTAGCTGCTTTGATCATGATCATGGTCCCTGGATTCAAAGCTTGTAATGACCTTTATCACTTCTTACGTTTTTGCGCGTTCTGATTTGTGCTGGCAACAGTTAGAACAGGTGGTCGTACTGGCCTTGTGAAAACGGTTTACCGCGATGGTAAGGTCGATCTTTACCTTCGTTTCGTATTGTAATTGACCACTTCTGACATCCTAGGTGCCATCTTCTACGCTGCTGTTGTTGGTGAGTTGGCAATGCTCCTCGAGCTGTCGGTTGGTCTGTGCTCAAGTCCTGTTAGCGGTATCCACGGCCAACGTTGTGACTGTTCTCACCCTTGCTGTAAGCTCAAGATCTCTATCTCGCGTTTGCAAATGCTGAGACCTCTTGTAGCCTGACTTAATGCTCCTTCTATCAGCGTGAGTTCCGACCCGCCTTGACGTCGTCCAAGTTGGAACTTATATCTGATGGCTTACTTATAGACCCTCGCGGGACTTACATTCTATACTTGCAAGTAGAGTCATCCTCTCTATCCGAAATGCAACCTCGTCTACAGCAGTGGATGTCATCGGCGAGAGTGGAGGACAAGGACACGTCCTCTCTCCAATGGGTAGCGTGCACCTGCACGGTACGCACCCTACAGTAGTGGTCGTAGGGCCGCCGAATGGAAAGTATAGCGATTGATAGTAAAATTACGCGACTGTGACTCTGTCCTTTACACTGAACAGTTTCTGGCTATATGTACTTGTACTTGCTAGTAGCGACCCGTGCAGACTATGTAAATCAGCAGATGACCCTTGTGAGAAATTAGCAGAACAGCGCTGCACGTCGCCTGGGCCGGTGAGCAGTGATCAGCCAATCAGGTTAGAGAGTTGTCTCGCGGGACAAACTGTCTTTCAACGTTCTAACTATACTGGTCGACATAGTTAAATTCATGCATGGAATCGTTAGCCTACCCTCTCAATGGACGCCCTTCTTAATCGCCAATCCGAATCCGCCTGGGATCGCTTCAAATCATCCCCAGTTCTGTTCTTAGCTCGTCTCATATACCACCCCACCTCCATTTTATCGACATCCTTCGTATCTTTGAGTTCTAAGGATTCATCCGTCCGTATAGTGTGCATCTCCGACACCCACAACACCCATCACTCCCAGCCTCAGTTACCCGAAGGGGACATTCTCATTCACGCCGGAGACCTCACCGTCTCAGGAACTAGAAAGGAACTCGATGACGTCCTATCTTGGCTTTCCGACCAACCTCACCCGCACAAAATCTTCATCGCAGGGAATCATGATTCGTGTCTTGCCGAGGATGGGATGAACGACTACGTGGCGAGAACGTATCCAGACTTGAGGTATCTCGAAAACTCAGAGGTTCAACTTCAAGTCACCATTAGTCCTGGGCATAGCAAGGAGAGGAAGAATGAGAGGATTATACGCATATATGGAAGCCCTTTCACCCCCAAACACGGTTCATTCAAATTTCAATACCCTCGCGTCCATCCACCATGGTATTCGGCAACTTCATCTCCTACGTCGTCGTACGAGTCGACCAAAATTTGGAATACCATCCCACCAGTGGTCGACATTGTCGTAACACACGGTCCACCATACGCCCATCTTGATGGTAGGAACTGGGGGACTGGCATGGGTGCAGGCTGTTACGCACTTTTGGCGGCTCTCTGGCGCGTTCGACCACGATTACACGTATTTGGGCATATCCACGTCGGAAGAGGGGTCGAGGTAGTTCACTGGGACGACAAGCAGAGGGCTTATGAGGACGTGTGCGCAGGAAGAGCTGGGATCACTGGCTTAGTGAGGCTGACATGGTTGACGGCAGTCGGGTGGCTCTCCTCGCTATTTGGCGGTCAGGCAAAAGCGGAAACCATGATTCTCGTGAATGCTGCAGCCGTGGGTGGTCGTGGGCTGGTGGACGACGAGTTGAAAGGGGCGATAGTCGTCGAAATCTAGGCGTCGCCTCTTTGTTAAGTTATTCAGAACCATGGTCGTCCATCCTTCTGTATATCACGATCATCCATTCACAATCCGCGACGACGAGCTACATATGGAACGATTCCTATCGTTTGACCATACCTATCATTATCAAACCACTGCCCTGAAACGAATCTAGTTTTCACTCCGCACATCCATTCGCGAAGCGGGGAATTCACAGCGACAAGCAGTCCTAGGATCTATCGCCCGGGGGAAATCAACACGTTCGATAGTGCGTGTCATAGGTTTAGGGCCTCATACAGTATCAAAACATAATCGAACGCAAAGAGCATATCCATGGACAAGAGCGAGTATACGAGCTTGGGTCAATCCCATAGCGTCCGGAGGCGGCGAGAGCAGGAAGAGAGCAGGAGTATCCAGAATCCTTCTTTCCCCACATTCGATGGTCCCTATGTAGCGGGATTGAGGCAGCTCAAAATTGTCCAGACATCCGAAAAGACTCGGCTTTAGCAGGAGGTTTTCCATGGAACGCTGGTATCTTGGAACACTCGCGCCCTCGAGCTCCATATTTGCTTCAGATGTCGCCGAAAGGTGGATTATATTTTTGTTCGCGCGTTCTCCGTGTACTTAAAGCTGCATAGGTCGTCCAAAAGTGATCGTGTGTTCAAATAACCAACCAGAAAAGTGGAAATGGAGAAATCCGATACATACACAAGCCATGGATACGATATATGGATTTTCGAGTGATATACGACTTTGGGTCAAAGATATGACATAAAATTTGGAAAGGGGGAAAATTGGGGGGCGGAGCGCCGGGCATCGTTCAAAAGCTGTTATGGCGGCGAAGAGTAAGGGACCCAGTACGGGGCGCAGCTATTAGCCTCGGATCTATGTTTGGGAAGTCTCCGACGTTGCTACGATAGTCCGG